GCATTCACATTTGCCACTGTGAAGGTAAGAGCACTAAGTGTGATAATATAAAATGCAAATCCATTTCAGTTACTGTTCTAAATCCATTCATTATAATTCCTTATAAACAGCAGGCCTTTAAGGGATCAGTTGGCATGTTTAAAGGGGATATAAACATCCCCGGGCATTACAGATTATTTAAGTACCCAGGCTTCCCACCTGACTGCATATGTAGTTAGAACTCAACTAGAAAATCTATTTTAACAACATGTATGCTGCCATAAAATACTATGTGATTTTTAAAAGGGCATTTTGAAAACTGAGTTTTAAGCATATCTTACTACCATGTAGTCTGAAAATTGAATCTTAAAATTAGAAAATTTCAGAGAAATGGACTGCATTTCAAATTCTTTTAATGTTGATGAAGACAGACACTCAGAGAGGTACAGTGACGTGCCTAAGAGTACAAGAATTAGTAGCAGAGTCAGAATAAGAACTCATGTTTTTTTACTTCATTTCATACAAGTTCATTTCAGTAAACAATTATATTTTTTTCCTACTTTAGTGTTGTTTTTCATCTCAGAGTCTTTCTACCAAACAGAAAAACAAAAATAAATAAAACAAAAATACATGAACTAAAATGGATTAGATGGCTATAAGGTAAAATTTTTTATCATTTAAACTTATCTTGCCTATAAATCTATTAAGCTATATTTACTTTTATTTAAATTCACATTTCAACCCCCCAAAATTGATGAGCTCTCCAAAGAACTATCTTTCCTAAATGCAAATTTAATGCTATGGCCATTATTAAACATCAAAATAAGAACTGACCAGGTGAAGGAAGAACATTTCTCTCTTTTTTCTAAAGCTGGTATTTGCGGCGAAAAGAGAATTTAATGTTACTTCTATAAAGAAATATCAATGAGATAATTCTTATGATTCAGAGTTAGGGAAAAGGTTGGGCACATTTATTGCCTCCAATATGAGATCACGAGAACTTTTATTTATCCTACCACCCTGACTACCAAATAACTTGGTATTAAAATTCTGTATTCAAGGAGATAACCACCCTTACTCTAGACCAGCCGTGGGCAAACTACGGCCCGCGGGCCGGATCCGGCCCGTTTGAAATGAATAAAACTATTGAAAAAAAAGACCGTACCCTTTTATGTAATGATGTTTACTTTGAATTTATATTAGTTCACACAAACACTCCATCCATGCTTTTGTTCCGGCCCTCCCGTCCAGTTTAAGAACCCATTGTGGCCCTCGAGTCAAAAAGTTTGCCCACCCCTTTTCTAGACTTTTTAGCACAACTATTTTCCCCATTGATACTCTGATTAATTTATATTTTATTGTACCCTTTACTCTTTTTTGAAAGTAAGCCAATAAGTGAGGCATAAAAATATTTAGAATAGATGACTAAAAATAAAGGCAGTTTATAAAAGGAAGTCATTCAAAAAGTGTTTAGGCTTATACACCAAGTTAAACTCTCATGATTACTTTAAAACTACCATTAAAATAATAAATTAAAGCAGAAAAGGATTAAGAAAAAAAGTACTCAAATTTCTTATTAAAGCACTCAAAATTAGGGGATAATGAATAAGATCAGGGACGTACTACTGTAAAATTATACATCGGGAAATTATAGATACTGCTCACTTTTATAGTACTTTTGCAATTACCTATAGCCAAGACAAAATACATGAACACTATAAAAGGGTTATTATACAATAATAAAATTATTTAAAATGAGAAAAGAAAAGCAAAAATTAATACGCAATTACTTACAGCAAGGGAAGAAGTTTGTAGACATGCATTTTTAATTCTTGGTATCAAAGCATTTTTCATGGATGGGTAGTCTATAAGATTTGCAAAGGTTGGAATGATGTTTAGACAGAGTTCCTATTAAGAAAATTAATTGGATCAGTCTTAAGGACTTGTCTTTTTTCTCACATATTAGAAAATATTTTGCATTTGCATGGCTAATTTGTCACATAGTTTGAAATAAACTTTTATGTACATTACATCATTTTGTCCTTTCAGTACTATTTGAAAGAATAGTTATTTTCAGTTTTCAATTTTACAGATGAGAAAACAGGCTCAGAAGACCTTACTCAAAATTATACTAGGTCCTACAACTAGCATCTGATACCACAATTCCCTGGTCTCATTCCTAATTTCTTTCCCTGATAACAGAATTCTTCATTAATTTTTAAAAACAGAAAACTTCGGAATACCTAAGTTTTGCTATCTTTCACAAAGACAAGAAATTAAAAACAAAGTCATGTAAAACTATTCCTCTTAAATAAGGAATTTCTTTTTTTTTTCAGTGATAACTTCTTTTAATATTTTCAAGATCTCATACTTTCCCCCCCACCAACTTTTGATTTCTTTTTTTTTTAATTTTTTATTACAAAGGGTATTACATATATGTCCATTTTCTCCCCCGCCCAAGACAGTCCCCTAGCCTCCCCTATCCCCCAGTGTCTTATGTCCATTGGTTATGCTTTTATGCATGCATACAAGTCCTTTGGTTGATCTCTTACCCCGCTACCTCCTGCCCCCCAAAATAAGGAATTTCTTAACTGCTACATATATCCATATGATGGAATGAAATATAAACATTTTCTAAAATATATTTTAAAAGATTGTTTAATAATATTGGGGAGAAAATGCAGTAAGACACTATTATATAGTCCCAATTTTTAAAATGTGTATGTACATGTGTCTGTCTACAGGCTTAGGATAACACTAGAAATGTTAACTGTAGGCATCTCTGAGAGATTTTAATTTTCTTTATATTTTTAAGTACTTTCAAATTCTAAAACATTAGCAAGTATAACTCATAGAAACAAGTAAAAGTTATTTAAAACATTATTTTTTTTAATATATTTTATTGATTTTTTACAGAGAGGAAGGGAGAGGGATAGAGAGTAAGAAACATTGATGAGAAACATCAATTCAGCTGCCTCCTGCACACTCCTTACTGGGGATGTGCCCGCAACCAAAGTACATGCCCTTGACCGGAATCGAACCTGGGACCCTTCAGTCTGCAGGCCGACGCTCTATCCACTGAGCCAAACCGGTCAGGGCTTAAAACATTCTTGTTAACTAATGCCATGCCACAGTGTAAATAATTGGAACTGGGAACTCTGAGGATAATGGGGAAAAGGAAGATGACTGAGGATAAGTGGACTAAGTGAGATAAGGCAAAGAACAAAAATGGCTGAGAACTAACTGGCTGAAGAAGAGCTCAGATACCTTAGAAGGGCCAGAATGATCCTTGTAGCAAAGCATAGCAGAGGGATTACTAAAGAAAATGGAAGTATAAATGTGTATCAGAGGAGGAGTTTTTGACAATACTTGTTAAACAAACACATTCATTTGTAGTTAGCAGACAGAAACAAGTTAACTACTAAGAATCTGTTATCAAAATACTGGGAAGCATTTTATGTACTTTAACTTATTCCCAGATTTTCAAAAGGCAAATAGAGTTATATGTTTATATCCACTCAGAACTATAATAATTACATGGGTGGCATCACTGAGGATAAGAAATTCAAGTTACATTTAAGGACCCATTTTCTACAGGTGGGAGACAATTAACAAGGGTGAGTAATCAGTGAGAAACTGCTCGTTATCAAAGGGTACCTTCTTAAGGAAGACCAGTCTTTAATTGATAAAGGGAGGGGAGAAAAAAAGAGAACTATAATGTTAATCTAGCAGTAGGTTACAAAGAGGCAAATCTTGAATTATAATCACTTAGCAAAAGGAGAGGAGAGCTCTCTCCATAGGAGGAGACAGGATGAAGAACCCAAGAACAGGATTAGCACATTCTCCGGAACTTCTGCCTCGTATTTATACTTTTTCTGTAATTGGTGGTGGGGAGAGGAGAATGAACATAGCTTCTATGTTTAATGTTAAGGTAAATAATGTAAGAAAAGTGGTACAGATAAAGATTTCTATTAATGCCGCTAAGGACCCTAACTTTTGTTAACCATCTCCTACTTTTCCAAATGTATTTCTAATCTCTCTCTAGTCTGTTAAATACATCAAACTTCTACTTTAAAAATATCACTCCAAAAATGAATTTCAGAAGTTCCTTTCCAGCTGCGTACCTTCATAAAGCTTGAGGAAAAGATTTTTGTTTCTTGCTCTTGCTCTAGAAATCTCCCAAAGCTAAGACAGGCTTTAACTTTATCAGACTCTTCCCAAGCAAGGTTTGATGCAAGTTAATTGGACTGGTGACTAAACACTTATCCTATATAATAAAAGCCTAATATGCAAATCGACTGAAAGCAGAATGACCGGTCATCTGGTCATCTGTTCAACCAATCAAAGTGTAATATGCTAATGATATACTAAGGCCGCTCAACCGCTTGCTACAATGTGCACTGGCCACCAGCGGGCAGACGCTCTGACTGGTAGGGGTTAGCTTGCTGCTGGGGTCCAGCCAATCGGGACTGAGCAAGACAGGCCGGACACGCCCTGGGGCCCTCCCATGGTCCTTCCCTGGCTGGCCAACCTCCCGTGTCCCTCCAGGTCCCGATCGTGCACCAGTGGGATCCCTTGGCCTGGCCGAACTGAGGGACAACCCTGCCTCCGAGTGCACGAATTTCGCAGGAGCCCTAGTTAAGTATATATTTTCCAAAGTAAAAAAAACTATACTTTTAATAGTAATCCAAAATTTCTTTCCAGGTAGCCAGCCATAGAATCAAAATTTGAATAGCAAAACTAAGTTTGGCAAAGTACATGATATTTTAACATCACTTTTGTGACACAAAAGCATGACTATAAATAAATTAGGAATGACTACCCTAAATTACTGTTTGCTTTTCTACCTGCCTGCTACACAAATTAGCTTCAATGCAGAAGGAACATTTCTGAATAGAAAATTAAGTTACCAAGCATGAAATAAAATTGTGAGTATGGGAAGAACTACTTGATGTTTTCATAAGAAAAGGGCACATACATATTTGACATTTTCATTTACTTGTAAATAATCTAAACTATAATCAAACCTTCCAGAATAGTACATTTCTCTTAAATAAAAGCAATGACTCATTTTACTTCACTAATACAGGTATTTGTAAATTGATTCTTTAAATTAGTTAAAAGATCCTTTCCATCATGTGAGAACTCAGCAAGAGGTCAGCAGTTTGCAACCCAGAAGAGGGCCTTCACTAAAACCTGGCCCTACTGGCACCCTAATCTTAGACTTTGTCTGCAGAACTCTAAGAAATAAAAGTTCTATTGTTTATAAGCCACATGGTCTGTGGTATTTTGTTATAGCAGCCCAAAGTAAAGCAACCACGTTTGCCCTTCTGGAAATAATCATGACCTGGGACAGAAGACCTGGACTCATCCGCTGACATGGCCCCCTCCCTCTTGGTCTTCAGTTTCCCCACCTCTACAGGAGGGAGAGAACCACACGATTTCCAAGGGACCTTCTGGTTCCTCCGACATCCTCTGGATTCAGTGGCTCTACTTTGTGACTGCAAAAAAAGTTGCAATTTTGGCTGAAGTGGAAAGGCCCCTCACACTCAGGAGAGGCACACCTGTGGGCTGCAGCTCTGAAGGTGGCAGGCAGTGAGGGGAGTTTAGTGAGGGAGCAGGGCAATCAAGCAATGATGAAGCTATGGGCAGACACACATCTGGCAGAAACAGGAGAAGGAAGTCAGACACCTGGTTTTGAGTGTCCCCCCACCACTTAACTACATGACCCACGTTAGTCCTTAATCTGAGCTTTCATTTCCCTCTTGGTCCATGGATGAGCTATCAATGTGTCTGCTGAATTGGGTTTTGAACCCTGAGGCGCTAATGGAACAGGAAGCCAAACTCTGGGCTCTGAGATGTCACCTCCAGGAGGGGAGGGGCCAGTAAGGAGCCCTCCCACCACCTCCCACCCCTGCTGCTCCAGATGCAACAGAGCAAAAGGTGCTGATACCTCTAAACCCAACTCCCCAGAACCTTCTGCTATCAGGCTAAAGCAAGAAATCCGGACTAGACAAGAGCCATTGTGTTAAAATTTTTATGTGAAATTCTGTAAATGTAGAGTGTGGCCTGAGTTCGAGGCCTGGCCCGTCAGCTCACGCTCAGCACTTGGTATGGATAGCTGTACTGCCCTTCTCCTCAAACTCTTCCTTGCTGACCCAGAGCTGCTGGAAGGCCTGCAGGGAGGCCAGGATGGAGCCACCGGTCCACACGGAGGTCTTCCTCTCGGAAGCTGCAGCCACTGCGGGGCTGTCCTGAGGGCACAAGAGGCTCAGCTCCCTCTGGAAGCGCTCAGGGAAGCCCTCCAGCATGGTGCAGCCACCACACAGCAGCACGTTTGCGGCCATCTCCTCCTTGAAGCCCGCCTCCTGGCAGTGGCCCAGGCAAGTGGCTGTGAGCGCAGGGAGGCTGGGCTGGCTGCTTCCCACCAGGGTGGGCTTGAAGAGCATCTCGGCGCACTGGAAGCGCTCATGGCCAATGGTGATGACCTTGCCATCTGGGAGCTCGTAGTCCACACGCAGCTCCTCCAGGTCCAGGCCAAGCTCCTCCTCAGGCTGGAAAGCTGTGTAGCAGCACATCTTCTTAATGTGGTCGAGGATGTGCAGGTGGTCGTCCTTGGTGAAATTGTGGCCGGCCTTGATGAGCAGCTGCAGCAGGTAGTTAGTGAGGTCGCTCCCCGCATAGTCAACACGGCCAGTCAGGCCTGGCAGCACATTGCCTTCTGAGATGGGGACCACATGCGAGACACCGTGCCCGCTCTCCACCACCAGCCCTGTGGTCTTGCCGTAGGAATAGATGGACAGCAGTGACTGGGACGTCACGTGCATGGCAGGGATGCCAAAGGTCTCAAACAGGAGCTCCGCATACTTCTCCCTGTTGCTGCTGGGGCTAAGTGGGGGGTCGGAGACCAGCACAGCATGCTCCTCGGGGAGGATCTTCATCGCTTTGTCGAAGATGTACTCCCAGATGTTCTGGACACAGTCCCAGTCCACCACAATGCCGTGTTTTAGAGGGTTAACCAGCTTCAGGGGTACCTCAATGTTGAGCAGCTCGTGGCCCACATAGATCTCCTTGTGGGCATCACCCACATCAGCTGCCTCGCAGGGCTTGCCCACCGTGGAGGAGATGAAGTAGGTGGGCCTTGGCTCTCCTGCATAGCCACACTTACAGTACTGCGAGCCCAGGTCGACAATAAGCGCCTTAATCTTGTGCACATTCTTGGGCTTCATCTTCAGCTGATTGGCTGAACTTGTGTCCCGAATGCCAGCATCAGGAGCTGACAGCGTTCCTGCCTCTCCAGTGTCACCATGAGCCTTGCCCGTGGGTATGGAGCTCAGGCTGTCCCTTGTCGCCATCTGCCTTCGTCCTCACCTTTCTCACATCCACATCCTAGAGCTCCGTGGAGAGAAATGAGGGTCTCCCTCTAGCAGTGCCAGAGCAACTACTCAGGATTGTGATGTCACTGGGTGCTGGTCCATTCCAGCAGCAGGGGTTGGCTTGGCCTTGGCACCTGTGATCTGTCACCCTCACTCCCATCCCCTAACTTGGCTGCTCACAACAGAGCAGGTGACCAGCAGTTTTAGAAACCCAAGCACACTGAGGTCTCACAGGTTTGTATTCCTACCCCCTTACATCCCACTCCTGACCCTCTGCTCACTAACTGGACACCTTTTCCTTCTCTGCTTCTTGGCTGCCAGAGTGATACATATTTGACCCCTTATAGTAAGCCAGGCACTGTACCAGGAACCTCACATGTTACTTCACAGAATATTGAGAGGTAGACAGAGCTGAGGAAATTGAGGTTCAGAATTCCAATGACTTGCCCATGAGCACGCAGCTCTAGGAGTGTTTGTAGTTTAACTCAAGTTCATCTAACTCCAACGCACCAGGTCTCCCTACAGAGTGTCACGGCCCCGAGAGTGCTTTCATTCCTTTAACATTTACTGGGGTTTGTGGTGGATCCAGCCCAGTACAGCCTGCCAGTGATAGAAAGGAACCCAGTCACAACCAGAGCCCAGCCTAGCGGAGAAGATGGAAAGGATGCAGGGATTTTGCAGGTGAAAGTCCATCGGAGGAACAGAGATTCACAAAGAAGGGAGCACTCATTGGAGGGTGGGAGTCAGAAGGTTCCCTAGAGTAGTGATTCCTAATTCGAGTTCTCAAAGATATGTGGGTATCTGTCAGGTAGTTGAAGAAGAAAAGGCATCCCCAGCAGACAGCACAGCCTGAGCAAAGGCTCAGAGTGGGGGGCATGGTGGGGAACTACCTATAGTTAAGGTGTTTGTAAAAATGGATGAAGCTAGAGGGTCACAGAGCCACCCAGGGAGGGCTCACATGCTAGGAATAGGGGCTTGGATTGACTTGAGGACAGCTGGAAAACCATAAATACTCTAAGCTGAGAAGTGCTCAGATCTGACTTCTAGAACAATTTTAGAAGGTTCTGTGTTTAGCTGTAATATAAAGTGGCAAAACTCTAAGACCTGAAAGGAGAATTGAAGAAATTCTTGTAAGACTCGAAGGCATCCTAATCCTAAACTAGGGCTGTGATAGTGTGGAAGAGAGCAGGGGCAGGTTCTAGAAAAGTTAGAAGGTAGAATCTATCCTAACTGGTTGGTTGGCTCCGTGCCATCTCTAGCCTCAAGCATTGCATTTACATTAGATGACTAGATTAGATGTGGAGTGAAGGAGAAAGAGGAACCTCTCACTTCTGCCCAAAGAAAGAAAGATGGTCTGTCATACAAAATGGACAAATTCACTAGGTTCCCATAAGGCCCTCCATACCAAAATGCCCCAAACCCACCAAAAACCAAATCTGTTAGGACTTCGTTGACAAAGAAATAAGATGAAAAAAAGGAAAGGAAAACAACTGGGGCTGAGAAGTTTTTGGTGCAGAAGTAACTGAGGGATTAGAAGACATCGATAGGAAAGAAAAGGGGGGTTACTGCTATGAAGCATGTAAGCATGTTAATGAAGAACTCATGGGACTGTTTGTTGGCTGAACTGTTTCTGGAACATGGCACTATGAAACTGGCTTATGCAGATAACAACTTTATAAGGATCACAGTATGAGCATCACCAAGCTCCAGTGGTGGTATCACAAGTCACAGAACTGAAGGACTGTACACATGATCTGGAAGAAACAGTTGTGAGTCATAAACTTGTCCTCACACTGGACAGATGTAACTCTCTGAAGAAGCTACTAATTGGTCTTTGGTCTACTTTTGAGTTGTGCAGGGCAAACCAATTCTTCCATGTGACAACCCTTATGTTATTCAAAGGCAGTGTTCAAAGAAAAATAAATTAGTTAAGAGTGGGTACATTTTAGTAACAGTGTATGATGCAATTCAATGGATTAATATATACTACTGAGTTATTTATATGAAAGATTTGACTCAAACCCAAAGTGTACTTTACTTTTTTCTTTTGCTTTAAGAACCAAAATCATCACTAAAGGGGGGAAGAAATCAAATATTATACCTGTATCTGAATGGAAGGAGCTTCTAGTGCTCTGTAAACCATTGGTAGGACACTGTTCTTTATTTCATCAGGAGGAGTTTTGGTTAATAGCAAATCCATTTTTTGTAAAAAAATTAATAAAATCTGTGTAGAAAAAGGGAATAATGCATTAAATTCCAGAATTTTTACATGATTTTATATATCCCAAAATTAAAAGAATACTCTAAAGAATAAAATTCTAAAGAATAAGTTATATATTTTCACACTCACCATGTTGCTAGCCTGAGGGCATGGAAGACAAAAACATACATATCAAGTCTCTTACATTTCTGGAAGCACAATATTTAACATCTGCTCTCAGTTTAGGCATTTAAATAAAGACTAATTTCCTACCTCTCACAAATCTTCAGTAATATGTCTCTTACCCACAAGTATCAACTATCTGGAAAGCAACTGGGTAAAGAAGTAAAAGCCTGAGGGCAACAAAATCACATGGCCCCCAACAGTAAGTTCTGTCACTTGGTTTCTATGAAGCTCAAGAGAAGAAAAGGTACAGGGATAAAAAAGACTGTCAGGAAAAATTCTAGAAAGAAATGTTTCAGTTCATTTTTTGACCTAGCTGCCACCATGTACCTAAATTATAAGGAACAAACTGCCTCTTCTATTCATGAAGAATACTTAGTTTTGCCAAGGATCGGTTAAAATTTTTCAAAAGGAATTTTTAGCTAGACTACTAAGGAGAAAAAGAGTACCAAAGAATGGAGGCAAATAAGAATTCAAATGGTATCTTTGGGATACTATATTGACTAATGCATAGCTTAGTGGACATGTGGCTCTGCTATTTTTTCTCCTGATATCTAAACAGTGTTTGCGGGAGTCTGCCTCAAAGCCCCCCATTCCCTCATCTGCCCTTTCCTTAGCCACAGGAACTCCTGCCTTACCACAAGGACCTCCTCCTGTTCCCTTTCTTTCAAGGGAAGGATTGCAAACAGCCTGCCACAAAACCATTAACTCAGGTAGCTGATGGTTTATTAATAAGCGATTGCCATGTAGTGGCAAAAGCAAGTAATAATTTACTATGTGCCAGAAAATTTCATTTACTCTCAAAAGCCTCTTTCATTTTGGAAACGAGCAAAATGGAAGCTTTAAAAGATTAAGGACTTGTTCAAGTAAGGAGGTAATGGACAGATTCCAACCCAGGTATATGACCCTACTGCTCTGAAATCCAAGACCATCTTGAATCTGGCAAATAAATACTGTAATAGAGTTTACATCAGACACTATGCTTTTCATTTACAATACACACACATATTATTTTTGGGTGCTATAAGTATTTTCCCTTTTCTGATGAAACTCTTCATAAACAATAAAATAAAAGAGAAAATACTGGCATAAACCTGTGTAAATGAAAGACCCTGGTTAACAGAACAAACAAAAAACAAATAAAAACACTTAGAAGTGTAAGATATACTTCTTTTCCAAACCTGTAACTTTTAATAAGACCAATGGGAACAGTATAACACATGCACAATCTCATTACAATTAATTTTCTGAGATGTTAACTTATAGAGAACTGCAGACATTTACTTGGAGAGTTCAATTATAATTTTAGGAATTTTAGGGTCACTTCAAACTTGCAAAATAGCTGACCAACGGAAAAGAAGTCTCTTATATTTACCTGTTTTTTAAAAGTCACATATCCATTCCTTGTTTTCAATGATAGTCACTGTTGACCAATATTACTGAATAACAGCTAATAGGAAAATTATCTATATACATACCTGTATTGGCTCCTGCTGTTTAAAGACAGGGCCAAGGTCAGGTAGAATTAATTTGACATATTCTTCTTTGGTGCATTCTTCAGCAATCATTAGGACATTGGGCAAAACAAAAGGTACCATGTCAGGGTTTACAAATTCTGAAGTCAAGCAAGGCAAAATTCTCTGCACAATGACACGCTGAAAGGAAAAAATGTTTCATAAAACTAAATTTTATCTCACGTCTTTAGTGCTAACATTGAAATTATAGTTTAAAATCTCCAATTCCTTTGGGTAAGGTGACCATATAATTTATGGTTGAAATTGGGACACTTTTAACAGTAAAATAGGGTGCTATTGCCAATTATGGCAGGACAAAGACATAACTTGGTAATGTGACAGATAAAAAGGGATACATAATCACTCTTCCTTTAGGAAATCTTCCCTCAATTAGTCTTCAGGAATATGTTTTTCCTCTTAATTCTTCACTGCTTATGATTCATACCACACAATTTAAACATTTTCCTATACTGTTAATTATTGCTTCACACGTTAATCCTATTTACACTTACTATGAAGGCCTTGAGAGCAAGAATAAATTTTTGTTTCCTCTTTATTCTCCATAGCATCTAACAAGTAAAGGGCTAGCAGTACATATCAATTAATATCTGACAGATTAAACATGGGACATTATTTTGGAACCCGAAATTATTATTTTTCCAGTGGTTTCTTTAGCATTCATAGTGTTTATACTATACTAGAAGCTCGGTGCACAGATTCACCGGTGGAATCCCTCGGCCTGGCCTGCGGGGATTGGGCCAAAATGGGCTCTCTGACATCCCCCGAGAAGTCCCAGATTGCAAGAGGGTGCAGGCCAGGCCGAGGGACCCCACCGGTGCATGATCAAGGCCATGGAGGGACTGCAGGAGGGCTCCAGGGCATGTCCGGCCTGTCTCGCCTAGTTCCGATCGGTCGGACCCCAGCAGCAAGCTAACCTACTGGTCAGAGCATCTGTCCCCTGGTGGTCAGTGAGCGTCATAGTGACTGGTCGAAGCATATTAGGCTTTTATTATATAGGATTACATTCATTGTTTAATAAGCCAGAGAGGGAGAATTGAGGAACTGGAGAGGCCTAGCATCAATACAAATGTATCCCCTTAAGTGTTGGTAATACAATGACCTCCACAATAACAGATTATGGGTTTCTTTTCTGACATTTATCTTTCTAATATTTTATGCTATTTCATTTTCGAACAATGCAAAAGAAGGTCCACTAAACTTCTGGCTTCAGTTTGAAGTCTTTTACAGTCACAAAGTTACATTTATTTCTTTGGAAGAGTTATTATAGCAAGTTAAAGTAAACTTTAAATTCTAAAATCCTGGCTATAATTAGAATCTGACCAACAACAAACCTTGGGCAATTTTGGTAGAACCTTTGGCAGTCCTTTGAAAAACTGTGATTTCTGAAGGTTATCTCTTTGGAATAAGGTATCAAAATACTGCAGTGTTACTGCACCAACATCATCAAAGAAAGGAATCTAAAAACAGGAAATGAAATTATTTTGATAAATATTAAGGTACTTCTCATATCTGCAACTGCCACAATTTGATGAAAAATATTCAGAATATTTAACAAAATGCTGAGATTATTTCATAAAAAGTCTAATTTAGAAAATCAGAATAAGGAAGTAACAAATTATTTTTGTTTCCAAGTTCAAATTTTCAGAAGCAGTACCTTTGAGTTGGCTGGAATAACTTTTTTTTTTTTTTACATAACTAGTAAAATACTGAAATATTAAGTAAAATAGGTTGGAGGTACAAAGAACATCATTAATCTATTAAAGGCCATGCTTATATGAGTGAACAAGAGTTGGAGTGTCCAAAACTTTTGCAAGTATAAGTATGTTACAACTGTTGTTTCTTTGAAATCTTAATTTTATATCAGAACAGGTATATGCATAAATTATTTAAATGTTTAGGAGTAAAAGAAGCTGAATATTTAATACATTCAAGAATACAGATATTAGCCGAAACTGGTTTGGCTGAGTGGATAGAGCGTCGGCCTGCGGACTGAAAGGTCCCAGGTTCAATTCCGGTCAAGGGCATGTACCTTGGTTGCAGGCATATCCCCAGTGGGAGATGTGCAGGAGGCAGCTGATTGATGTTTCTCTCTCATCGATGTTTCTAGCTCTCTAGCTCTCTCCCTTCCTCTCTGTAAAAAATCAATAAAATTTATTTTAAAAAAAAGAATACAGATATTATCTGGGAACTATATCCGATTAAATCTTGTTTTGAAGTTTATCTACTTTCACAGATTTTCTGTTCCTCCGGCTAAGGCAGAAATTCATGTGTACTCACTTACCTTCGTCATTTGATCTGCATCTGGTCTTACAGTTGGAGTTACATTTAACAGTAGCTTTACATGTTCACGGACTTCCTCAGGTATATTTGTAAGTGAACTAGATCCTAAACGACTCAACTATTCAAAAGAGTGATAATATTAAATATGAATATAAAATATTCAGAGATATGCATTTATGTTGTCAAGTCCATTTAAGAAACTTAATATTTACTGAAAAATATTTTTTTAGATTCAAACAAATTGCTAATTCTATTACTGCAAGATAATTAAAACACTTATCTTTATTAGCTGATTATTTCTATTCCTAAAACAAAATGCCCAGTTTTTTAGACCATATTTTAAAATTCAGACTAGTAAATACATGTCACGATTACAGTTGTAGTAACAGACTTTAACTAATCCTCACTGATTAGATAATTACTTTTGCTAAGCTGATTTTATGCAAACAAACTATATATAAGACTTTCATCTCAGAATTTTCTGAATACATTTTTAGGGAAAAGAATCAAAGCAGCATTTAATACATTTTTAATGCAAACAAATATTTAAAGATAAATACCTGATCCAACTGCCTACTGAAACTCTTATAAATATCTTGCTTGTTAATTTCAAATAC